TTTATCTATTTACACAAGTTTTCGTTAAATTCATTATGTGAACAGTTGTATATTTCATATTATAACTTTACTTTTTCTATTTTCATTTCGTATAAGTACAAACATTTAGGTATTTAGACTGTAGATCCAGAAACTTCAGGTTTCTCTAGTAAATTTAATTTTATTAGGATCACGTCTAGAAACTTCAAGTCATTTTATCTCGTCAATTATTACTTTGATCGATGACGAATTTATTTTAATGGCCTCATTACTTATAATATGATGCAGTACAAAAAATATTGTTGACAAATTTTTCTTTTCGATTCTATTTTTTCTCATAATGACATAAATTATTGAGATATTACAATTTTCAATATATCGGGTACATGAACCTCTTCTGGGGTTTTACAATTTATTATGTCTAAATACTCATGAAGAGTATATGCCTTCTTAATAGGACTATCTTTGTTAACTGCTCTATTTTTATTTGTAGATTTTTATATTAGAATCGAATATGATCACGCTTCAGGCGTGCCATCAAATAAAATATTAACTAATTGTTATCTAGGACTTTAATTCAAATTGGAACATTTAAAGTTGGTGTGTGAGATATTGTTAATCTCTTTGGTCAGTAAATTCTGGTTCGAATTATCTTTTGCGATGATTTAGATAATGATACATTTGTATATTATTTCTAGTTTCTTAATTCCTCCCCTAATGGTGAGGGAATTGTCAAATCAAATTGACAATCAACAAATTGCGTTATAAAATATCATCCATTTGTGATAAGGGTTCAAACTACACATTTATTCTCAGCATTATTTACTTTCTAACTCAGTACATTGTAGTGAACAAATTTTACATATATTACACTAACAAAATAATTATCTGAAAAAATTAGACTCTGATCATAAGTCAATTATTATAGGAAGAACTATGATATTGGCATGATGCGTAATAACATTCACTAAATAGAAATAGGGTTTCATTTGATTGAAGAATCTTCTGGTTCTTCAATAAATATTCATTTGAAATTTTAATTTCGCATCATTATTGATCCAATGATGGTCTAACTGGACATGCCAACAATAAAATATAAGAGTTATTGAACTTTTTGTTCAAAATAATATTTATCAAAATGTTCACTAAAGTTTAGTATAGTGTACTAATTAAGAAACACTATTACAAACTTTGTAGGATTCTTTTTTGTGTAGTGGGGAATAAATTACTAACAGTAGTTGTAAGTTTATCTCTTCATATCACAAAATATTGACTCTTTTTTAGCCTCAAAATAATATTTTTTAGGAATATTGATATAAATAAATTAATCATTATATTCTTCTGAAATATTAATATGTATAAATTTGTTACGGTATTCTTAATATGTATTATTTTTGCTTCTTCTGGAGCAATATATCATTTTTTTAATATTGGAATTGTAGTGTCATGCTATTCAGGAACAATAACATACTATTATTTAAAATAATAAATTGTATAAGAATTTACTCTTCGGGAGTAAAAANATTTTTGCTTCTTCTGGAGCAATATCAATATTTTTCTGAAATATTGAAATTATATGACATGTTCTTCAGGAACAGATAATATTCTTTTTGGAACAGTTATATAAGGTGGGTTGTGTTTTTTTTATAAAACATCAACACCATATTTATTTGGTACAAATATAATTTTTAGTTCAATATAAGATATAATTCAATATTTAATTTCGAAAAATATTATATAATTATATAATAATCAATCAAGTAGACAAACTAATCAATGTTAATATGACATGAGTTATATATTTTCCTTTAAGGAAAACATGAATTCAAAATTATATATTGTTAGAAACATGTTTTACTTCAAGAGTACGATGTATTTTATTATTACTTTTCAAGAACAATAGTCAACATTCTTCTGGAATATTGTAATAGTATATTGCTCTTAAGGAGCAAAGAATATTATTATAATAAATTATACAAGGATTTACTCTTCAAGAGTAAAAATATAATTTACGTTTAATCGTATTTAACTCTTTGGGTGCAAATAAAATCTAATTAAAATATTTGTCAATAATAGTGTGCTACTTCGAGAGTACCAACAAACTATTATTTAAAAATTGAACTCTTCATAAGCATATTTTCTATTAAAATATTACTATTGCGGATTGTGCTTCTTCAAGAGCATTAAAATATCTATCCGTATTAAGATTTGCTCTTCAGAAGCAATAAACATAATATTCTTCCGAAATATTAATACAATTATAAAATTGTGTTATTCCAAGAGTAACAATACGATTCATATCAATTTATTATAAATCATAAATAATTAAATAATCACTGAAATATTGAAACATTGCTATAATTCATACGTACAGTAATTCATTCGGTAATTTAATCACTACAATTATACAGAAAGATACGGGATTAAATAATAATTATGGGATAATAATCAACTTATAAACATAATGGTTAAATAATGGTACCAGATTTCATGGATGGTGGCTACCCAAGAAAGATACAATGCTTAGAAAGATGAAATAGTGAGTTTTGGCCACATGATTCTCATTCAAAAATGCTTCAATTTTTATTGCATAATTGCATTCAACGTGCTTCTCCTAATGCTTTTGCCCTTTCTTCTTCTTCTTCCTAGAGAATATTAGATTTTGAAAAATTTAAGTTATTGTTATCATGTCATAAATTAAAGAGAACAAAAGAGATGAGCCAATGAACTTGTGTGTTTTATTGAGAACAAAAGCCACATATTTATAGGGAATGATTAGGTATACTATGTTAATAATTTTTAGAACTGCAATGATACAATTGTCAATCACTAATAAACTTATCATTTACAACATTATGAAGATTATTCTATACAATATTTTCATAACTTCAACATCCTCCCTAAAACTCAATAAGTTGTAGTGACAATCAAATTGAATTTGAAAATTAAATTGATTCGAACAAATCTTCCACCTCCAAGGATTAAAGGATACATTAAAATCATTTGCATGTCAACCAAACCAAACAAAGAACTCAAAGTTGGTACGAAAGAAAACTCATCATCCGCCAATTTAACCAAACCATTTCCCAGGCTTCAAGGAGACACTAACAAATATAACAAACAAGGCTAAAACGAAATGGTTTTAATAACTAGACATACCGTGTTTAATAGTAGCACTCCAAAATGGATAGCATTAGTACTACGCTTACAGATGAAGGAAAGACTGATGAAACAGAAACCTTGCCACATGAGGTGGCAAAAACAACAGATGCGATGAAAATAAATTCGATGAAATGATTTCCTTCAAAATAATTTTAGTATCAACAAATCTAAGAAAGTTTCAAAACTAATTCTCGATTTCCTCGAAAACTCTCACCAAGAAGAAATCAACAAGAATAGCCAACATCTAACTGGATTTGAATTAATCTGAAACCTAAATTCAGATTAAATCAACAATAAAAGAATACTTGTCTAGACATAATATATAAAAAAGAAAAAAGAATTTGGGTAGACGAGGATATTTAATCAAACTAAGAAAATTTGACTGGTAGAGCGGCACAAGGCAACTCTCCAAAGAACCTAAACTTGCAAGTTTAACCCAAAGTGAAATGAAACCTACTCTGATACTATGTTAGAATATTATAGATTGTATATATATTAAACTTTTGTTTCTATTACAAATTTGAAGAAGCTATTTATAGGCCATAAATAACTTTAAAAGCAAATATTGTGAGATTATAATCACACAATCAACTATTAAGGAAAATAATCTCACACAATTGGAAAAATATTGTGGAGATTATCTTTAAAATATTTACATATCTTCAACAAAAATGCATACTTATATATACTTCTTTGGCGTGCAAGTTGAACGAAAAAAATGCAAATATATAAATCCTTCTCAACAATTATTTACTTATATAATATGCAACAGTTCAACAGCAGAAAACAGTTTCCATTCCAACTCCTGTACCGTCTTTCCGGAATCAGCAATTTGGGATCTGTGCACGTTCATGACTTCAACTAGCTCGCTTTTCAACTTCTCGACGTCTTCCTTGCTTCTTGCTAGTGATTCTTCTATTTCTAACTTGTGTCGTAACAACTCAGCATACCTGGTTGCAGATGCTTTAACCTAAAAATGTTATTACCATAAATGTCAGGTGTGTGTCAAAAGGGATGAATAACAAAAGAATTAGCACACGAGATTTGCAAATTGCCCTATGGGAAACTATAGGACAAAAAAGGGTCGGATTTTAAGAAGTTCGGCTCCATCCAAGGCCAATAACTGCTATAAAAGAGAAATTATCAAAATATGTTCAATAAAATGAGAAGTGTCCTATATAGAGACACGACATGTTTGGTAAGGAGGATTGAACATGACTTGATTGTATTAAGAAATAAAACAAAATTAAAATTTTATTCATTGTATTGTTGAGTTCTATCCATTACAAAGTAGTGAACATGCACTACGTTTCAATTGACATCAAACCCAAAAATGTCGGGATGATGAAATTTGGATTGACTGTCTAAAAGCAAATTAATATAAAACAGATATATATTCAAGAAAATAAATGAGAGAATATTGGTTGAAACTTTACCTTGCCAATAGCATCAATTACATCATTTTCAGCTTTCCTACGCCTGGCTAATTCTTCATGCGCATCCCTCAGGAAAATTTCTGCTTTTGTCACAAATTGAGCCAACCTACAATAATCGTCTTCCTGCTCAAGTTCAACAGCTAGTCAGAAAGAATTCCAAAGTGACATCTTCTTTTGGGTATGGATTTCCAAACAACAAAGTACTAAAGTAGGGTAATATCATCAATCTATATAGCATTTTTGGCTATGCTTGATGTACTTACGAAAGAACTGAAAGCAACAGACGAATGACGATGACCTCCCCCTTCATTATCCTCGGGCATAGGAAACTCCAACCAAATTTCATTCTCCTCAGTACTTGAAAGGGAGACTGAGGCTGTATCCTCGATAATTTCACTAGACGGGCATGTAAAAAATAGTGAACTTACTGAAGGACTTCTCCTCGATGGGCTATCCTGATTAGTGCTCACTTCTGCATAGTTTGGAACTGAATCGGGTAGGTTCAATCGATCATTTTGCCCTTCCGTAACTGAGAGATCTCTTAAAAAAGACTCTATGGTTTCAGCATTTGGACTTGCTTGAAGTGATGCGGACACTGTCTCTATGTTCATTCCATCCACCTTACTTTCCCTACATTGAATTAGCTGGCAGCTTCAATGATCATGATAATAGTTATCAAACAAGAGTTATCATGATGTGGAGTGTTATAAACCACCTCTAAGTTTGGATTTTAGGCAAAACATACAAAGAAGTGGTTCGGTGCTTTGCCTATGTTCGTGGGTAGAGATGAAAGGAAAATTCCACTAATAATCAAAAGGGGAAAATAAGAAAAAAGTAACAAGTACTCAATCCTTAAACCTAAAAACCCCAAAGTTTAGTCCTCTATAACTATTTACTCAAATTGAAAAGGAGACAATACATGGAGCATAAAAGGAGAGCAATTCCCATTAGATGTGGGGCAAGAGAAAAACCCTACACGGGGATAGACAAAGGACAGTTTGTAACGACCTGACTTTGCGCCGGAGCTATTATCATATCATAAGTACTGTCCGCTTTGAGATAGTCTAGGCCCATCTTACCCCTCACGGCTTTCTGACGTGTCCCCTGGTACCAGAATTCAACTTAAGTCTCCCATATGGTTGAGGTCTTGGGTTCGAATCTTAGAGGACTCGTCAGAAAGCCGTGAGGGGTAAGATGGGTTTAGGATCTACCAAAGCGGACAGTACGTATGATATAATAACGGCTCCAGCGCAAGGTCGGGTCGTTACAAAAAACACGTGTTTTTTTTGTAACGACCCGACCTCGCGCCGGAGCCTGGGGGACGCGTCAGAAAGTCGTGAGGAGTAAGATGGGCCTAAACTCTCCCAAAGCGGACAGTACGTACGATATGATAACGGCTCCGGCGCGAGGTAGGGTCGTTACACAGTTCTTGTCTTCAAAGCCTCAATTAAAATGGGGAAATTGATTTAGAAATCAAACATTAGAACTAATCTGCTACGACTATTATAGGATGAAAACCTTGATGGGCTATCCTGATCTGTGCTCCCTTCTGGGTTCAACCTTCTCCGTGAAGTTACCACACCAGAGCCATCTGGTGGTGATAAGATTCTCTTCCTGTGATCGTAAGACCTGAATCTACGAAAGTTTGTAACTGAACCTGACAGGTTTAATCTGCCATTTTGCCCTTCTGTAACTGACTTTGATCTCGAGGAATGCTGCATAGTTTCAGCATCCAGACTTGGTTGAAGTGATGCAGACTCTGTCTCAGTGTTAATTCCGTCCACGTTACTTTCCCTGCATTTGAAAGCATTAGTATTCAAGATAACAGTTATCACTACAAAAGTTAGAGATCACAGCGTCAACCCAATCTGTTACAGTATTGTAAGATGCATAACAATTGTCTTGGTCCATACTCCTTACTAGAATTCGTGGGACGGGTAAGTTCTTCCTTCATATGCTTCAGAAACCTCAAAAATCACCCCAAAGAACATGACAGTAAAATCATACCTTGTACGTATAAGGTCCCCTTCCCAAATAAATGAAATGCGACACGAACTAAGTGCTTTTAGATGTACATAGGTAGCTTTCTTAGACTTGGGTATAGTAATTTTTCTGCAATGTAAAACAATTGCTGAAAATGAGATACAGTAATATAAAAGGAACAAATAATCTCAGAAAGTTCAAAGAGATAAAATGCCACAGAAATGTAAAATATGACGAATTGTATCACTCATTATGGATAAATAAACTACCAGTTGTTACAAAATCAAGAGTTAAACAAGCTGCTATAAACTAATATAGGAGTAGTTAGAAGAAAGAACAACCTTGTACTGTTTCCGAAGAAGAAAATCTTCTTAAGAATAGTCTTGTTGCCCCTAGACAAAGGGAAAAGAAAAACAATATCAGAGTACTTCAAATTGACCTAATATTCTGGGTTACACCCCCATTGCTCAAATCCCTATCCTTTCCGTGAAGCATACCCAAGGGCAAGCATGAGAATATAGAAATTATCAAAAACCTCTTTGGACCGAAAATTTTCACCATTTATGCTCCACAATTTTAATTTCTTCAGTAAATTCTTTTTATTTTCCTGCACTGTTTTCATTTTTTTCTGACATCCAATTCAATACTTAATATTAAGCCCCTATTTGAGTCTCATTCTCTAAAAACTCATTTTTAACCACACATTCTTCCAGTAAAATAATTTTGCACGTAAACTTAAAACTTTTCTATACTTTTTAACCACACATTCTCCAAAAAATTACTATTACAAAACTCATTTTTCACCAAAAATGGGGCTCAAATATATACTAAGAATTGGCAGATGTGCAGGTTGGGAGGGATCCAGACTGACCAAGATCATATTGCTTAAATATGGGTCGGTAATGGGTTTAATCCAATCTGTAAACATGCACAAAACAGAGTTAACAACTTCGTCCTTCTTTTGTCTTAAGAAACTGAAAACCAGTAG